ACTCTACGTACAACAGAATGAAACGGTGCCCACTCCTGCACCATTCCTCACAATCACTGCTATGTTTAAGCTTACTGTTGAAGCCACTGTGTCTGTCTATCTCACTAAAGATCTTCCTCTCTTTCCCTGACCCTCTACTTTACCAAGCATGATGTCCTTTTCCAGGGACTGGTCCCTCCTGATAACATGTCCAAAGTATGTGAGATGAAGTCTCACCACCCCCGCTTCTAAGAAGCATTCTGGCTGTACTTCTTCCAAAACAGATCTGTTTGTTCTTCTGGCAGTCCATGGTATATTCAATATTCTTTGTCACCATCATAATTCAAAGGCACCAATTCTTCTTCAGTCTTCCTTATTCACTGTCCAGCATTCACACGGATACGAGGCAGCTGAAAATATCATAGCCTGGGTCAGGCACACTTTAGTCCTTAAAGTGGTATCTTTGCTTTTTAATACTTCAAAGAGGTCTTTTGCAGCAGATTTGCCCAATGCAACATGTTGTTTGATTTCCTGACTGCTGCTTCCATGGGTGTTGACTGTGGATCCACATAAAATGAAATCCTTGACAACTTCAGTCTTTTCTCCATTTATCATGATGTTGCTTATTGGTCCACTTGTGAGGATTCTTGTTTTCTTTATGTTGAGGTGTAATCCATACTGAAGGTTGTATTCTTTGATCTGCATCAGTGAGTGCTTCAAGTCCTCTTCACTTTCAGCAAGCAAGGTTATGTCATCTGCATATCGCAGGCCATTAATGAGTCTTCTACAAACCTGATGCCCTGTTCGTCTTCACACAATTCAGCTTCTCGGATTATCTGCTTAGCATATAGACTGATTAAGTATGGTGAAAGGATACAACCCTGATGCACACTTTCCTGATTTTAAACCACACAGTATCCCCTTGCTCTGTTCCAACGACTGCCTCTTGGTCTACGTACCGGTTCCGCATGAGCACAATTAAGTGTGCTGGGATTCCCATTCTTTGCAATGCTATTCGTAATTTGTTATGATCCACACAGTCGAATGCCTTTGCATAGTCAATAAAACACAGGTAAATAACTTCCTGAAATTCTCTGCTTGCAGTCAAGATCCATCTGACATTAGCAATGATATGATATGCCTCATTCCACATCCTCTTCTGATTCCAGCTTGAATTTGTGGGAGTTCACTGTCGATGGACTGCTACAACTGCTTTTGAATTATCTTCAGCAAAATTTTACTTGCGTGTAATATTAATGATATTGTTTGATAATTTCCACATTCTGTTGGACTACCTTTCTTTGAAATGGGCACAAATATGGGTCTCTTCCAGTTGGTTGGCCAGGTCGCTGTCTCCCGTATTTCTTGGCACAGACAAGTAAACACCTCCAGCGCTGCACCCGTTTGTTGAAACATCTCAGTTGGTATTCTGTCAATTCCTGGGCCCTTGTTTTTCACCAATGCCTTCAGTGCAGCTTGGGCTTCTTCCTTCAGTGTCATCGGTTGATGTTAGGGAATTGCCTAATTTAAATTTTCTATTTTAAAATTAAACTTATTTAACAAATTTGATTAAGTTTAATTTTTAGAATTAAAATTACTTTTAATTTTGTAGCAATTGATATTTAGAGAAATAAAGAGCTCAAATTCTAAAATCAGGATTGCTTTCATAAATCTTAATATCTAACACAGGAGGAGACTAAAACGACAATACAGCCATGAAGATGTAGCAACACTTCTTGGAATATAGATGGTTATTAACTTAAGATTCTATTTCTGTAAGTAAAGGTAAACTGATTTTTTAACATGTCCTTTTCCTTTCATAAACTCCCCATCTTTCACTTTTGTACTCTCTTCTCTTTTGAAATTTTCAGTGAATGAAAGCCCTACTCAACAGATTGTTTTGTTTTTGTTTTTAATAACTATTGTGACGGTTAAGGTTGTATGTCAACTTAGCTGGGCAGGATTCTCCGTGGTTTGGCAGTTATGATGTAGTTTGGCAGCTATGTAAAGATGTTAGATTGCCTTTGGAATGGGCACAAACATGGTTGTCTTCCAGTTGGTTAGCCAGGTAGCTGTCTTCCAAATTTCTTGGCGGAGACAAGCAAGCGCTTCCAGTGTTGCATCTGTTTGTTGAAACACCTCAATTGGTATTCTGTCAATTCCTAGAGACTTGTTTTTTCGCCATTCTCTTCAGAGCAGCTTGGACTTCTTACTTCAGTACCATCAGTTCTTGATCATATGCTACCTCCTGAAATGGTTAAATACTGACCAATTCTTTTTGGTACAGTGATTCTGTGTATTCCTTCCATCTTCTTTTGATGCTTCCTACATTGTTCAATATTTTGCCGGTAGAATCCTTCAATATTTCAACTTGAGGCTTGAATTTTTTCTTCAGTTCTTTCAGCTTGAGAAATGTCAAGCATGTTCTTCCCTTTTGGTTTTCTAACTCCAGCTCTCTACATATTTCATTATAATACTTTTCCTTTGTCTTCTCAAGCTGACCTTTGAAATCTTCTGTTCAGCTCTTCTATTTCATCATTTTTTCCTTTCACTTTAGCTACTCTACGTTCAAGAACAAGTTTCAGAGTCTCTTCTGATATACATTTTGGTCCTTTTTCCTTCTTCCCTGTCTTTTTACTGACCTTTTGCTTTCTTCATGTATGATGTCCTTGATGTCATCCCACAACTCATCTGGCCATTAGTCTACAATGCGTTATATCTATTCTAGAGATGGTCTCTAAATTCAGGTGGGATACATTCAAGTTTTATTTTGGCTCTTGTGGATTTGTTTTAATTTTCTTCAGCTTCAACTTGAACTTGCATATGAGCAACTGATGGTCTGTTCCACAGAAGGCCCCTGACCTTGTTTTGACTGATGATATTGAGCTTCTCCATTGTCTCTTTCCACAGATGCAGTCGATTTGATTCCTGAGTATTCCATCTGGCAAGGTCCATGTGTATAGGACTGCCTTTTATGGTGTTAAAAAAAGGTATTTGCAATGAATAAGTTGTTGGTCTTGAAAGATTCTATCACGCAATCTCCAGTGTCATTTCTATCACTAAGGCCATCTTTTCCAACTACTAATCCTTCTTCTTTGTTTTTCAGCTTTCACATTCCAATCACCAGTAATTATCAATGCATCTTGATTGCATGTTTAATCAATTTCAGATTGCAGAAGTTGGTAAAAATCTTCAGTTTCTCTATCTTTAGCATTAGTGGTTGGTCCGTAAATTTGGATAATCGTTGTATTAACTGGTCTTTCTTGTAGGCCTATGGGTATTATCCTATCATTGATAGCCTTGTACTTCAGGACAGATTGAAAGGTTCCTTTTGACAATGAATGCAACATCATTTCTCTTCAACTTGTCATTCCTAGCATAGTATACCATACGATTGTCCGATTCAAAGTGGCCAATACCAGTCTATTTCAGCTCACTAATGCCTAGGATATCGATCTTTATGTGGTCCATTTCATTTCTGACGACTCCGGATTTTCCTAGAGTCATACTTTGTACATTCCACGTTCTCGTTATTAATGAATATTTGCAGCTGTTTTTTCTCATTTTGAGTAGTGCTACCTCAGCATATAAGGTCCCAAAAGCTTGATTCCATCCACATCATTAAGGTCAACTCTACTTTTAGATGGCAGCTCTTCCCCAGTTGTATTTTGAGTGCCTTCCAACCTGAGGGGCTCATCTTCCACCGTATCAGACAATGTTCCACTGCTGTTCATAAAGTTTCCACTGGCTAGTTTTTTTAGAAGTAGATTGCCAGGTCCTTCTTTTCAGTCTGTCTTAGTCTGGAAGCTCCACTGAAACCTATCCACCATGGGTGACCCTGCTGGTATTTGAAATACCGGTGGCAAAGTTTCCAGCATCACAGCAATGCACAAGTCACCACAGTATGACAAACTGACAGAGGAATGGTAGAATTACTACAATATTGTAGCTAAAACACCAGAAAATTTGACAAAATCAGCAACTATAAAAACGGCAACAACAATGAAAACAACAGCACGTGCTACAGCGCAAGCAGACGAAACCATGTGATTTGAAGAGTCATTATATTTGCTAATAATGACAGCTCTGACTGCAGCGTGTTAGAAGGTTCAAAAAGTAAATCAGCATACAGCTTTAGCCTTGTAGGCTGGGCTTACGAAAAATGATTTTGTGTTATAACTAACTATACGGATATTTTATAAGTTTCTGCTGAAACACTGCACTAAAATTTTATAGACAGTCATTTTGGTGTCAACCCCTCTGACAGTGTCACCTGGTGCCAGTCACACACCCCCAACTCCCCTTAGCGACACCACTGCTTTATAGTATCTTGTTTTCTTCCTCTTCTTATTAATGAGAAAAAAGGAATGTCAAACATTTTCCTGGACAAAGCAAAGCATGTCCCCATACCTTACTTAAACAAAGAAGAAGGAAGAAGGAGAAGGGATGAGTTGGCAGAAGGGGAGAGAATGGAGAAGCAGCAATTTAGAGACATTTCATCCCAGGAAACTACACTGGAGAAGTTTTATAACCTTATAAAGAGCTGAACAAGCTTCAGAAGAACCCTAAACAATTATGAAGAATTCTAATGAAAGACTTCTGAAAGCAGGGATGTTTGTAGAACTTGTCTACCAAAGCAACCCTGCCTGACAAGAGACAAAAACTGTATCAAGTAAAGCTGATGCCTACTGCCATCAAGCATCATGATGGGTCTGTTAGTTCTATTGTCTTACAGCAACTAATAACACTGCATTGTTATAACAAGAAATGTTTACCACATTCTCTAGGCCCTATAAAATGTTGCCCTGTCTAATGAATTAACAAAAAGTAGAAGAGTAAGGACTTTCAGGAGAAAGTTGCTCTTCTGAAAATATGCTTGAATTTGAAATCAATACTGAACACTGAGTTACCTAAAACTCATGGAAAAAAAATAAGGGTTTAGGTTGAAAAACATGGATTATTTTAAAAGCATGCATTCTGTTCACTAAAAATATTTATATTAATTGAATTATCCAACTCACTGTTGAAGTGTCAACGATGCTTTTTTCTCTTCCATCAATATCATCATCCTCATCTTCATCACTGAAATCCACAGCTGCGCTTTCAAGGAATTTGAAATTATCCAGTACGGAGGCAGAATCTGTTAACTCGGATTTTCTGGTTTAAAACATGTACATCTTGCTCAGTTTACCTTTTCTAACATTAACGTAAGGATTAATCCATGATATGTTGCACTAACTCGTTTATTTTGTAATTATGATCTCCCCAAACCAAATTATGTTCTATATTGACTCTTATCCATCCCATTTCCATGGACATTAATTGGAAAGCAATATAGGAACTGGCAACTCTTTTAGAAGTACTTTGTAATCATATCCATTCAGCGTGCTATGCTAATGTAAATAATTTCCCCTTCTGACTCAGTATTAGTTTGTTCCTTCAGTTAAACTTAACATACTTTTTAAATATTTTTCTTATTATCTCTGCCTCCATTTTTTCTATTCTTTTCCTCTCTATAACTCTTCCTCCCACCTCTTACATAAGCTTCTACAACTAAGAAAATAACTAGTAAATATGTCATTTTCTCTGCTGTAATCTTCTATTTTTACTGAACACCTAAAGAGGTTTAAAAAAACAAAAAAGCAAACGTGCACATAAAGATACTAAAAATAATGTATTGGTCAAATTAATATTACGACAAGACTTGATCCTTGTTGTTAGCTGCTGTCAAGTATTGGTTAATGAACCATTAACCTTTTTGGAAATAATTGTGCTTTTCAAGATACAAGACTTGAATTTAGTTTCCTGGAAATAATTTAGTAAATATGGAGTCTTGGTGGCGCAATGGTTAAATGTTCAGCTGCTAACCAAAAAACTGGCGCTTTGAACCCACTCAGTGGCAATCTGCTCCTGTAAAGATCACAGCCAAAAAAACCCTAAGGGGCAGTTCTACTCTGTCACATGAGGTCACTGTGAGTCAAAACTGACTCAATGGCATCCAACAACAACAATTTAGTAAACAGTTTCCTAATGGCCAAAATAGAATGATTTCTCTTAAGTTCATTAGGAAATGTTTTAAATGAGAAGGCATTTTCCTGAAAAAATTTTAGTCACAACTATGGAGAAAATTTTCAAGACAGATAAATCATAAGCTTCAAATCAGCTAAGAGCTATGTATTTGTCCTTCCCAGTCCCATTCTCAGTTTCTACCTAAATCTGACAGATTCAGAATGATACTCTTGGTCAGTTTCAAAAAACTGAGCAAACCCAAAACGCATAATAACTACAGTGGTCATCTGTGAAGGTCTTCATAATAACTTAAAATCAACCCTCAACGTGAAAATACAACTAGAAACAATGCTCACATGGTCCAAGTTTACACAGAGAAATAATTTATACCTTACATCTATAAAAATAAGTCAATGTATCTCTAATTATTAATGAATAAATTCAGGAAGGTGTCAATGACATTTTGTTTACAAAAGATGTATTTTTTCAACTTTACGTAAATCCTCTAATTTTAGTTTATGTGCCAAATAACAGGAACTATGTGCTCACTGAATAATGCATAAACAAACAAACAAACAAAAAAAAACCCAAACCCACTGCTGTTGAGTTGATTCTGACTCATAGTGACCCTACAGGACAGAGGAGAACTGCCTCATAGGGTTTCTAAGGAGCACCTGGTTCAATTAATACCATTCTTCTAAGCCTAAACGTGTTAAAATAAAGTAACATCATGCTTGGACTTTCACAGAATCTTTGGTTGTTTATTTAGTTAAGAAATATGGCAAATTTTTTTCAATTAAAAAAATCTCCGTATTGAACTACTCATGTTCACTTTAAACAGAATTATATATAATTGTATGAAAAATGATCCAAAAAGCAAAATAAAATATTTCAAACAGCTACTGAATTTTTCACATTTAGATATTCCACAATTTAAAATATATGGTTAAAAATATTTTTTAGTCAAAGGAAATATGAGTTACAGCATTATTAAACAAAAGTAGTTTAAAAAAAAGAGTTTACTTCTAAGAATTCTGAAATATTTACATAATTTCTGGGTCACCAATAATGAAATTTCATTCTTACAGATTTATAATTTCCAAATACGATCTCTTATAAAGTTCTAATAGAAAGTGACTCAGCTTCAAGATACTGAAATCTATAATACATACATAAATTTCAATCAAATAAAAATTTCTTAAGTAAAAACTTATATTCTTTAATTAAAATAACCAATAAAACATAACCGGTAACTTTAATCCTCATGTGTTTCCTTCTAACAAAATGAAATTAAAAATTTTTATTGAAAATAATTATAATTATTTCTGTATCACTAACTGAAAGTATCACTCATACAACAAAAAATATTTAGTAAGAAATAAAATTAGAGCTAAACACTTTCCAGAAAAAATACTTACCCAATCATTGCTGTCTCTTTAATTTCAGCCTCTGTGCCATTTATAATTGAGTCCTGATTTTTGTCATCTTCCCTGTCAGTGACATCACTTGAAAAGCCCAACAAAGCTCGCACTCGTTTAGATTTCACATCTAGGATAGTATCTGTGTAACCCACCTCCTGTAGATACCTGTGTAAAGAGGATCCTTACAATTCAGTCATATTGGAGTCCCTATTCTATAGCTCAATATGTAAATAAAAATATTTCTTTAAATTCATTGCCTGTGTACGACTTAACAGTACAGTACTATGCGAATGGGACTTGCTAATAAATAATTTTCCAGCTGCAGATGGGGCTGTCTCTTGCAGTACCAGCCTCTTCAGTCACTGAGAAAAATCAAAGAACTATACAATACACCATTCATTACATTTATCTTAAGAAGAAGTTGTTCTTTAATATACCTAACAGCACACTCTCTCCTTTAGGCAGGACTGAAGAAAGCTAACTCCCAGGTTTTGCTGAATTACTAATTTATAATAGTATTCCAGATTTTTTTTTTAAACATTTCTTATAGAAAGTGTCATTGGATTAATTGTTTGAAATGTAGGGAAAATGTTTCTAGCATGCAGGGTTTCCCCCACAACACACAAGAAGATACCGTTTTTCAAAGAGTCACATCTACAGAAGGGACACGTTTATCCTACGAAAAATCTAAAATATAAATTGTTGTTTTTGTTAGTTGTTGTCAAGTCAGTTCCGACTCATGGCGACCCCATGTCTGCAGAGTAGAACTGCTCCGATAGGGTTTTCAAGGCTGTGACCTCACGGAAGCAGATGGCCAGGCCTGTCTTCCGAGGAGTCTCTGGGTGGGTTCAAACTGCCAACCTTTTGGCTAGTAGTCTAGTGTTTAGCCATTTGCATCACCCACAATTAAATTAAAATTGTGGGATATGAGACGTGTGTGTGTGCACACATATGTATGTTTGTTGCAGAGTGGTAGCAATGTAGAGAAAGAGCATAATCTTTGTATTAAGTGTTAGTGCTGGGTCTAAAACCCATTTCTGCCACTTGTTGTGTAACTTTAATTCTGAACCTCATTTTTTTCCTCCTAAAACCAGCACACCTAACACAGTGTCTAGGATATAGAAGGCACTCAAAACCTATTAAATCCAAAGTTATCTAAAAGAGATCAAAAGTAGCAATTACAGGAATGCAAAAAAGGCAAAGGCCATTAACAAATGTGACAGACAAATGTTAGGCACTAACTATAAGTAGACATCAAATTTACTAGATGAAAAAAGAAGATAAAGGTAGACAAGACAACTGGTCTAACATAGTTTATTTCAACATTTGGTTTTAATGATTATTCTAGTTGAAAGAGATCTCACAAAGATATGTGATCGAAATGGAGTAAGTGTATCTTATCAAATACTTATTTTTCAGTGTCATCCAATATTAACAGAAAAGCTTTCTGGTTTTTTTTTGTCTGTTTTTTGGCTCTGAAGGAGAGGAGACGTCCCACCTCTTGGATGTTTACTGGTTCCAACAGGAAGCAGCTGTAGCTACAGTTAACACATCCACAGCAGTGGGGGGATTACTTATATGGTATTCTCCCATACATGTAAACATGTATTTATTCATATCAACATTTATTTTTTTTACAAATCTCACAAGTACTGATGATATTATTGGTAATAGAAGAAAATTATAAATTAAATATCTAACAATGAAAGTATATTACAGCTTACACACTCAAACTATTAGGCTGTCAATACAAGGGGTGTTCACATGTAATAACATGAAAATAATATGATGTATAATTGAAATTTTCTAAAGCTGTTATGTTTGTTTATCAAGCTATAATTTTATTTGAGAGTGGTTATTCAATTTCTGTAATTTTCTAAATAAAATATGTACCATCAACAAAAACCTAATAATTCTTATTATGAACTAAACTTCATTAAAACATATTAAAGTAACTCTAGTTACTTTAACTAATAGGTGCTATTCCAAATAAACCCCTAAATTCCAGGTGGTAACACAGTAGAAGGAGTTGCTGGGTGGTAACAATGGCTAACACACTCAGCTACTAACTGAAAGGCTGGAAGTTCAAGTCCACCCAGAGGTGTCTTGCAAGAAAGGCCTGGTAATCTACTTCCAAAAAAATCAGCCATTGAAAATCCTATGGAGCACAGTTCTACTCTGACACACGTGATCACCATGAGTCAGAACTGACTCGGGTAACTTTTTTTTTTTTTTTTTTTTTTGTACTTTAGATAAGGTTTACAGAGCAAATTAGTTTCTCATTAAACAATTAGTACACATATTGTTTTGTGACATTGGCTACCACCTCCACAACATGTCAACACTCTTCCCTTCTCAACCTTGGGTTCCCCATTACCAGTTTTCCTATCCCCTCCTGCCTTCTAGTCCCTTCCCCTGGGCCGGTGTGCCCATTTAGTCTCACTTTGTTTTATGGGCCTGTCTAAACTTTGGCTGGAGGGTAAGCCTCAGGAGCAACTTCAGTACTGAACTAAAAGGGTGTCCAGGGACCATACTCTTGGGATTTCTCCAGTCTCTGTCAGACCAGTAAGTCTGGTCCTTTTTCTTTTTTTAATGAGTTAGCCTTTTGTTCTACATTCTTCTCCAGCTCTGTCCAGGACCTTCTTTAGTAATCCCTGTCAGAGCAGTTGGTGGTAGCAGTCGGGCACCACCTAGCTGTGCTAGACTCAGTCTGGTGGAGGCTGTGGTAGTTGTGGTCCATTTGTCCTTTGGATTAATCTTCCCCTTGTGTATTTGATTTTCTTCATTCTCCCTTGCCCCAGACGGGGTAGGACCAGTGGAGTATCTCATCCGGTCACTCAGAAGCTTTCAAGACCACAGATACTACTCACCAAAGTAGGATGGAGAACAAAATAGAAAACTTTTTATTAAAATTTGAGTACAGGTAGTTTCCGACTTATAACGTATTTGAGTTATGAAGAACTGCGCTTATGACCATCTGTTCGGTTTTATTTTTGTTTTTGTTTTTTTTGGTACATCTTATGATTAGTAATGGAACACTGCTGGCACAGTGGTTAAGAACTCTGCTGCTAACCAAAAGGTTGACTGCTCCTTGGAAACCCTATGGAGCAGTTCTACTCTGTCCTATAAGGTCACTATGAGTCGGAATCGACTCAGACAGCAACAGGTTTGTTTTTTATTGTTAGTAATATGTTCTACATACAATGTTGCAGCAAGTAATATGCTTATGTTATCATTCTCAGATGTTCACTCGCAGATGTTCAATGTTATGATTTACTGCTCAAAATACTGCCAAACAGCAGGCTAGGGCAATAATTAAAACTTCTTAAAATTGAAATATTCGACTTATGTCAGAACCGATTTACAATGCAGTTGTCCAAACAGAATTCCACTGTAATTCAAGGACTACTATAAAACATTTCCAACTTTCCTGAATTTAATCAGTTGTTCTTATACACTAATAGAAAGATGTTATGTTTTTCTATTTCTAACAAATAATATTTGATACATCACTTTGGCAAAATAATCACACTGCATGTATCTATTTTCAAAACTGATACACAGGTTCCACACTCACACTGGTTTTACTAAGTACTTTCTCATTCATTAATAAAAATGTCACCTTTACTTTGAGTGGTAAATTATGAGTCTTTATATATTTTTGAAAATTCTCTTGAATAGGTCACTATGATAACAACCTCTCATAAAAAGAAAAAAAGATTAGGATCCCTAATGAATTTATAAAAAGGAAAATGCACAAATCATATTTAAGACCAAAGTGAGGACACTAGTGAAAATCCACTTATTAAATACTAGCAAAGTCTCACTTTCTCCTCACTTTTCTTTAAGACAAAAATTACATACCAGAAAATGTTTTAATATTCTCTTCCCATACTCAAAAGAAATGGCTGACATGCATCCACTTTGGAGACCATGTTGTTGTTGTTGTTAGGTGCCGTTAAGTCGGTTCCAACTCATAGTGACCCTATGTACAACAAAACAAAATACTGCCCACTCTTGCACCATCCTCACAATTGCCGTTATGCTTGAGCCCATTGTGCAGTCACTGTGTCAATCCATCTCGCTGACAGTCTTCTTCTTTTTTGCTGAACCTCTACTTTACCATGCATGACGTCCTTCTCCAGGGACTGGTCCCTCCTGATAATATGTCCAAAGTATGTGAGACGTAGTCTCACCATCCTTGCTTCTAAGGAGAATTCTGGCTGTACTTCTTCCAAGACAGATTTGTTCGTTCTTCTGGCAGTCCATGGTATATTCAATATTCCTTGCCAACACCACATCTCAAAGGCATTGATTCTCCTTCGATCCTCCTTATTCATTGTTCAGCTTTCCCATGCATCTGATGCAACTGAAAACATCATGGCTTGGGTCAGGTGCACCTTAGTCCTCAAGGTAACATCTTTGCTTTTGAACACTTTAAAGAGGTCTTTTGCAGCAGATCTGCCCAGTGCAAAGTGTCATTTGATTTCCTGACTGCTGCTCCAACAGGTGTTGATTATGGATCCAAGTAAAACGAAATCCTTGACAACTTCAATCTTTTCTCCAATTATCATGATATGATGTAGCTTATGGGTCTAGTTGTGAGGATTTTTGTTTTCTTTATGTGGAGGTGTAATCCACATTGAAGGCTGTAGTCTTTGATCTTCATCAGTAAGTGCTTCAAGTCCTCTTCATTTCCAGCGAGCAAGGTTTGTCATCCGCATATTGCAGGTTGTTAACGAGTAGTCTACCAATCCTGATGCCCTGTTCTTCTTCATATAGTCCAGCTTCTCAGACTATGTGCTCAGCAAATAAACTGAGTAAGTATGGTGAAAGGATACAACCCTGACGCACATCTCTCCTGATTTTAAACCATGCAGTAGCCCCTTGTTCTGTCTGAACAACTGCATCTTGGTCTATATACAGGTTCCACATGAGCACAATTAAGTGTGCTGGAATTACCATCCTTCACAATGTTACCCATAATTTGTTATGACCCACATAGTTGAATGCCTTTGCAGAGTCAATAAAACACAGGTAAACAGCTTTCTGGTATTCTCTGCTTTCAGCCAAGATCCATCTAACATCAGCAATGATATCCCTCATTCCACGTCCTCTTCTGAATCCAGCTTGAATTTCTGGGAGACCACAGGGTTAGACAATTCACAAGTAAACCTCAAAACTCAAAATCGGTAGCAAATCTCATTTTACTGAGGCACAGATCTGAATCCCAATTTCAAAAGTGGCATGCAAGGGTCAGGCATGAGCTGGTGAGTGGGTGTAGTCCACCACTTGACATCTACACCTCACCCTAGCTTTGTTTCCTCTTTATAGTCTCAAATACACAATTTATAGAAGTATTGTTAGTGCAACATTTGCAAATTTGGTAATTCAAGAAGTTCTCCAACCTATTTAAAATAGAAAGTTTAAAAATATAACACAACATGTAAACACTGATTGGAATTATATTAAAACATATGCATATCCATGTATAAAAGATGCAAACAGTGACTTTAGGGTATAGAATTCTTTTAACTGTAAACGTAAGTGTATAATAAAATTAGAAGCTTAATATTTTACTCTTCTTGATGAAGCTAAAATTGTGGAAAGAGAATCTGTTCTCGATAATTCTTATGACTATTGAATAAAAAATAAATTCCACTATGGGAGAAAAGTGTTTAATATGAAAAAGGAAAAGTAATTCAATTAAGCTTTCTGGAGCAGCAGTATAGTAATATGAGAAACAAAATTATACCACTGAGTTGGAAACACAAAATAATCTCATGATAGTATTTTTCTTCCCTTTGTCAATTTATAATTTGAACTTGGGATACTTACTGTCTGAGTAGTTGTCGACCTTGTTTCCACATTAACTGGCTATTTTGTTGTGGCTGCACCTCTGTTTCATTACCTTCATCTGGAAAACATTAATCATAATAAAACTGACTTCAATCAAAAACTGACTTGGTTTACATTTTAGACGGCATCTCAATTCATAAAAAGTATCCAATAAGAATTTATGATGTTAGGAATATGTAAAACTGCAACTGTAAGGTATATGTTAGGACACTGTAAATTGTTTTAAACTGTAATTTCCTTAAGAAAACTCTAATATAAAACTCATTATTGTTGCTGGATCTCCTGTAGAGTAGCAGAACTAAAACGAAGACACCTTCTTTAGCTAGCCTGATAATTTCCCTCCAGGACAAAGACTTAATCAAATCTAGACATACAATAAGAGCCAAATAACAGCTCTACGATGTACCACATCAGAGCTAGAATAAAATGCCCAGAAATGCTGGTAGAAAAGCCAGTTTGGTAAAGGGCAGATGAATAAGAAATAAGCTATTTCCTTTCCTAGCTATTAAATGAAAGCGTAAAGTATTCTTTTGTTAAAAATAATGAATTAAAATTAATGAAACCTCCTAAGAATTTTAAATTTTAAATTCATCATTAGGTAGACACTGAGTCTTTTCAAGAAAGTGGCAAAATAAAAAGAGCCTTCCCCAGGGTAAATCTGCAGGGAAGAATTTCCAAACTATACTCTGTCTCAACTTTAACAATACAGAAAAGTTCATACCTTTCATCAGCCCTTGATCTAGCTATAAGAAACAGCTGATCTTTATAGGATCTTATTTTAAAGGGATACAAGTGAGACTGGGGTATCTGACATTTAACATTTACTGCATGCTTACTGTGTTCTAGACGCAGCGTTCAAAACATATACACTATCTCAAGAAATAAAATGGTCAGAAAACTTACGAAAAAATGTTCTAGCTCACTGGGCATCAAAAAAAAAAGCAAATTAAACTGACAAAGATTGAAAAAAGTTATGAAATTTATACATTCTCAGCAATGACTGGTAGGGGACGTAAGTTAGTTCAAACATGGTGGATGGCCATTTACCAACATTTAAACAAAAGCCTTAAAAATATCCCTATCTTTTGATTCAGAACTTCCAATTCTAATGATTTATCCTAAGGAAATAATCACACATGTTGCAAATATTTGTGTGTAAGTTTTCCTTAAAATGGAATTCTATAGATATATTAGCATGGAAAAGTGTTCATAATGTAACACTGTTCTAAACGCAGGTTACAAAATACTGTTTATGATATGATTCTATTTATTTTAAAATTGTGGATTTTATATAGTATATATTCACTTAGGAAAACATGAAAAAATACAATAAAAGTAAATCATTACTGGGTGGAAAAAAAATATATATATACACTATCTCTTTTAATCCTTATGACCTCAAAAGATAGGTGTTATTACTATTCCCATTTTAAAGCTGAGAAAGCTGAGTTTTAGAGGTTAACTTACATGTTTCTTAATGAGAAACATGGCTTTAAGTGTTGAAATCGCACCTGTCTGACTACAGAGCCCAAGCTCTTAAACTAATACCTTCCTCTACATGCTATCACTACAAAGACAAGAATTACAGAAATGTCTAAAGAAAAATAAGCATTACATCTTACACTTTCATTTTCCTCTTAAGATAACCCCAAAATAACTAGGCCAATCTCTGCGATATACCAAAGAAATATCAGAGTAGATTTGGTAGGTGGGAAGGGGGTGGTTTTTGAGAAAAAGAGAACTGAGTTAACCCAAAAAAGATTCCTTCGGGATGACTTCACTGAGGGTATACTTAACAAAGGTCCCTAGGTGGCGCAAACGGTTTGCACTTGACTGCTAACCTAAAGGTTGGAGGTTTAAACCCACCCAGCGGTACGTGGAAGATATCGGCCTGGTGATCTGCTTCTGTTAAGATTACAGCCAAGAAAATCCTACGGAGCAGTTCTACTCTGTAACACACAGAGTTGCCAGGAGTTGGAATCTAGTCAACAGCAACAGGTTTACAGCTAATAAGCCAACACAAGAGATAAAATGTAATAAAAAATACTCAATCCAAAAGAAGGCTGAAAAAAGAGAACAAAGAAGAAATTGTACAAAGAGAAAACAAATAGCAAACGGTGGCAGATTTAACCCTAACTATATCAGTAATCTCATTAAATGCAAATGGTCTAAACATCTAAACATTAAAGACAGAGATACTCAATTTTCAATAACTACTTGGTCTCTAATACAAAAGAGGAGAAAATGAAAATATCGAAGATAAATGAATTTTAACATAACCTGGGGTAATGTTCTCCTGAAGTAGAAATGTAAATATGTGGAAATGAAAGAAACTTGGGGAAAAAAAAAAAAAAAAAGAGGAGAAGGTAACTTTTTGTGAGAAATGTTTCAGAAAACATCTGGATTATCAGTTTTACCATAATATAGTACACAGATAAAAGAACCAAGACTGGAAAAATTCCTGCTTCTTTAAGGTTTATACCATTTAGTTACAACCCTTGTACCTCTCTCTCCTAGTCACTGTTTCTGTCACTGTCATCTACAGATTCCTTGATAACTCTCCAAACCTGGCTCACATGCTTCCTCTGCAATCATACTTCTACATCATCTTGAGTGAAGTCAGTATTCATGTGAGTGATACACTGCTGCCTGTCCACAACCACCACCTTCTCTTGCTGTCATACCCAAGATCTTTTCATAAATGAAAAATTGTCAGAGCTGAAGAAACTCACTCTGAGGATATCCTCCAGGCTCAATGACTCTCAATTAACTCTTCTTTTTAAATTTAGCTGGTACTTATAGACCAGAGGTTGGCAAACTACAACCTGCAGGTCAAATCCAGTCTGCCACCTGTTTTTGTAACTAAAGTTTTATTGGAACACAGTCATGCTCATTGGTATTGTCTGTGGCTGCTTTCATGCTACAACAGCAGAGCTGAGCGGCAGAGACTGCATGGCCTGCAAAGCCCAAAATATTTACTAGCTGGCCTTTTACAGAAAGTTTGCTAACCTGCTCTAGACCATAGTCCACCCCTTACTTTTAACTTATCCCTCAACCTCATTTTGTCTGTACTTCCTTCCCCCTCTAATTGTAGTTCATGGTCTATCACTTCAACCATTTTTTTTTTTTTTTTTGCCAAGGTCCTCAATTTTCTTGTTCCTTTCTCCCTCCATGAATTCAATGAATTCAACTATTTGCATTCTCTTTGCTTTTACCAAAATCAGTACTTCTATATAAACTCGTGATCATACAGACTTAGCTTTTCCCAATCCTTCCAATACCTTAGTTTGTCCTCATGATCACCATCATTATTTCAAATCTTCTCTACTTTCCTTAAACCTCACACTCACTCTTAGCAGGTAATCCTGTCTCATACATAAAGCCATCGTATGGACATTCCCTTAAATACCCACCAGCAAACCAAACTACCTAGCTTCTTGCATTCTCTCTTTGTAATAAATAAAAGACATGCTCTTCTTGCCATTTTTCAGCTGTGTTCAGAATTTAATCTCTATCGCTTCCTCAAATATTTTCCTACTGTGACAATGTCCACTCTCTCCCTTTTTTGGCTCCTCCTCGAAGAAACAAAACATCCACATGCATTCATGCACGTTGCGTACACACACGCTTTCCTTGACCCCTGGTGTCCTTTCAGCTATCTCTCTCTAACTCCTCTTCTTCACAACCTAGCTTCTTGAAAATTGTCTACACTCAGTCTCCATTTTCCACTCACGTCTTTATATCTGTCCTCATCCCTCTACCAAAACTGCATGCAATAAAGTTCTCAGCAACCTGTGTGTCACTAAATTCCAGAGATACTTCTCAGTCATCTGGACATTAACCAGTAGTGCTAAATAGTCCCTCCTTCTGAAAAGCCTCTCTTTTCTTGGTTTCCACTGTCCTGGTTTTTCACCTATCACTAAGATAATCCTTATCAGTTTCCTTCTTCTACCAGTCCTTTAAAAGCTGCCATTCCTCAGGAATCCATTTTAGTTCTTCCTCTTACTCTGAATAAGATCTCTCCCCTGGGTGATCTCTTCCAGTCCAATGTCTTTGAATGCCATCAGTGGGAGATGCTGATGTCTCTCAAATCTACATTATCTAACCTATACCTCTGGTTACAGCTCCAGACCCATACACCCAACTAATACTAGTCATCTTCACTTGGTTGCCTAACAAATAAGTCTAAAAGTCAACCCACCATCTTTCAAACCTATTTCGGTCTAGTTGTTTAAACTAGAAATGTGGGAGCCATCTTTGACTCTTTTCTTTTCACCCCCTACATCTAACCAAGGACTAGTTGCTACAGGTTTTACTTCTTAAATATTTCCTGGGCACACCCACTTCTCTTTGACTTCACTCTTAGAATCTCTGCCAAAGTACCCTTCCTCATTTACTTAGGTGACTGTAACAGTCCTATAACTAATCTCTCCATTTCCAGTTTTTTTCCCTCTCTAATCCATGTTCCACACTGTAGAGAATGTGACCTAGAAGCAAATCTGATCACAACAACCCTAATTAAGAACATTCAAGAGTAGTTTGTGGGGCAGTGAGTCTAAGTCAATGGTGGTGAAACAATATGGGAGAGACAGTGAGAACAGTGATACAATATAAAGAATGTAACCAATGTCATTGAACCGGACATGTAGAAACTGTGGAAAGGGTGTATATACGCTATGCATATTTTCACCAAAAATAAAACATTTTTTTAAAAAAGTACATTCAAATGCCTACTCATTACTCTTAGTTTATGATAAAGCCTGGAATCCTTAACATATTTTACAAGGCCCTCTATCATCTGCACCACCCACTAGTCTAACTCTCTAGCTTCATCTACAAATACTCCCTTCTACTAATATCCAGTTATCCAGTTTCTCAAATGTACCATACTCAGCTCAGAAGATTTGCCACTAAAAATTTTCCTTTTCCCTACTTCTTGTTCAATAAATATTCATTCAGTCCACTTGCCCTGGCTAATTTCTATGTGTCCTTCAGAGGTCAACTCAAACATCACTTCTTCCAAGAAGCCTTCCTTGACCACTTTAAACTAGATTAGGT